AGTTAGATTGTTGAAACTTAAAACAAGGACAAGAAATATCGTTCATTATCATATATTATATCTATAATTTTATTCCTTTTGTAAGATGCATGTAGGAAGTCTCTTATGAAAATAAAAGCATTTGAAAACAGTGTTTTTCATAAGAACAGTAAGATGCATTTTCTATATTATGCAAAACGTTTATAAAAAAAAAATAAAAAATATTGAATTTTTAGTAGTTGGTTGAAACAAACCATAGTGTTTTTGAAGAATAAAAGAAGAGTTGGAACATTCTTATATATGGTTTAAAACGTATAAGTCAAGGAAACATGTCTTCACGTATTTATGTAATTATTTGAAACACATTTTAAAATCAAACAACACTTAATACTTACTTTTAATTGATTAATGAGTGTTAGGGACATTGTTTTTTTCACCTTCACATTATGATACATATTTATAAGAGACAAAAAGAATTTATATACTGATACTATACATAACACATGTTTTTTCTGTTGTACATCCTTGAGAAAAAACTTGTTTTATATTTATATGACATTTTAATTTGATAATAATAAAATACAAAAATTATTTTTAGGTAAATTACTTAACAACAATACTACAGACATCGATACTGTACACCGAATGATGTATCCTGTGACTCAGACTAGTCACGTATCCCATGAACCAATATTTTGCGAGTGAATGGTTGTTCATCAACTATGGACGGTCGTTCACTGTTATTGGACGGGAGTCCATTATATGTAGACGTCCGTCCATGAGAAATGAACGATGAACTCCTGTCCATATTATATGGACGGGAGTCCACATAAAATAGACGCCCGTCCATACTTAAAAAAATAAAATTAAGGGACAGTCGTTCACCATTTCTGGACGACCATCCCTTAATTTTGGACCCCCGTCCATACTGTAAATTTTTAAAAAAATTAAAAAACTTATGGGCGCCCGTTTATTATACAGTGGACGGGCGTCCCTCAATGATGGACGGGCGTCAACATATAATGGACGCTCGTCAATTGTTTCAATTAAATACTATTTAATTTACAAAATTCGGGGATGCCCGTTCATCATTTATGGACGGTCGTCCCTGAGTTTTGGATAGGCGTCCACATATAATGGACGCCCGTCCAATACTGTAAATTAAAAAAAAAAGTAAAAAAAATTTATTGACGCCCGTCCATTATTCAGTGGATGGGTGTCCTTAATTGATAGACGGTTGATGCACGTCCCTCATTTAATGAGTACTTTTAATTTAGGTCAAATCAATTTGGGAGCAATTTTAAAATAAGTTTAGGCCGCTCTTCTTCTTCGTCTTCATTCCCTATCTCCACTCTTCTTCTTCGTCTTCATTCCTCATCGCCGCTCTTCTTCGAAGTTCTCATATGCCATTCTTTTTCTTCGTCGAAGTTCCTCATCTGCCATCATTCTTCTTCAAGTTGCTCATCTGCCATTATTATTGTAAGTGTTTTAGTCTATTTGGTTTCTGTTAATCACGTTTTTTTTTTTTTATTTTGATTGACGATTGAACTTGTTTTATAGCGTTCACTTCTTTGTCTTGGTTCCTCATATGCCGCTCCAAACGTCGAAGCCATCTGCCATTTCTCGAGTAAGTGTTTCAGTTAATTTTGTTTGTGTTCATCATCTGTTATTCAGTTTGATTGATGATTGAGGTTGAGTGGCTAATGTAAGAAGTATTGGTTGATGAATGTGATTATAGTGAAGTGTTTCTTATTTGTTTGTGTTCATCCAAATTTTGTTTTAATTGAAACAATTGACGGACGTCTATTATATGTTGACGCCCATCCATCACTGAGAGACACCCATCCACTGTATAATGGACGGGCGTCCATAAGTTTTTTTAAGCCGTCCCTTAATTTTATTTAAAATTTTATTTTTTAAAGTATGGACGGGCGTCCATTTTATGTATACTTCCATCTATATTATATAGATGGGAGTCTATCATTCATTTCACATGGACGAATATCCACATATAATAGACTTTCGTTCAACAACAGTAAACGATCGCCTATAATTAATAAACAGTCGTTCATTCACAAAATATTAATTTATGGGATATGTAGTTGGTCTAAGTCATGAGACATGCCATTTGGTGTATAGAATCGATGTCCATAGCATACTTAAAGATCCACATAAGTCAATGAGTCCATGAATGCATGAAGCAAATCAACAAACCCAACAGTTACCGGCCCACCGCCTCCACTAAACAGAAAAAAACTACCTTTGGCTAACATAACCAATTAAAAAAAGTCAGTGTGGGCACTGTGGTTGGTTTTCTTTCGATACGGTGTCCGTGACCACTGACAAACTCTTCACTACCGTCCCACGCTACTCTACCCTATGTTTAAAGCTCTGACACTTCTCAGCGATCACTATGTCTTGTCTTTTAAATTGTTTTAATCTTCTCTTTGTTTTTTCAGAACAAAAGTTTCTACCTTTTTCTAATTTCAATGAATCTACTCTTTCCTTTACTTTTCACCAGGTCATTCTCAAGAGTCAAGACTCATGCTACTGTGTTTGGTATNCCTTAATTTTGGACCCCCGTCCATACTGTAAATTTTTAAAAAAATTAAAAAACTTATGGGCGCCCGTTTATTATACAGTGGACGGGCGTCCCTCAATGATGGACGGGCGTCAACATATAATGGACGCTCGTCAATTGTTTCAATTAAATACTATTTAATTTACAAAATTCGGGGATGCCCGTTCATCATTTATGGACGGTCGTCCCTGAGTTTTGGATAGGCGTCCACATATAATGGACGCCCGTCCAATACTGTAAATTAAAAAAAAAAGTAAAAAAAATTTATTGACGCCCGTCCATTATTCAGTGGATGGGTGTCCTTAATTGATAGACGGTTGATGCACGTCCCTCATTTAATGAGTACTTTTAATTTAGGTCAAATCAATTTGGGAGCAATTTTAAAATAAGTTTAGGCCGCTCTTCTTCTTCGTCTTCATTCCCTATCTCCACTCTTCTTCTTCGTCTTCATTCCTCATCGCCGCTCTTCTTCGAAGTTCTCATATGCCATTCTTTTTCTTCGTCGAAGTTCCTCATCTGCCATCATTCTTCTTCAAGTTGCTCATCTGCCATTATTATTGTAAGTGTTTTAGTCTATTTGGTTTCTGTTAATCACGTTTTTTTTTTTTTATTTTGATTGACGATTGAACTTGTTTTATAGCGTTCACTTCTTTGTCTTGGTTCCTCATATGCCGCTCCAAACGTCGAAGCCATCTGCCATTTCTCGAGTAAGTGTTTCAGTTAATTTTGTTTGTGTTCATCATCTGTTATTCAGTTTGATTGATGATTGAGGTTGAGTGGCTAATGTAAGAAGTATTGGTTGATGAATGTGATTATAGTGAAGTGTTTCTTATTTGTTTGTGTTCATCCAAATTTTGTTTTAATTGAAACAATTGACGGACGTCTATTATATGTTGACGCCCATCCATCACTGAGAGACACCCATCCACTGTATAATGGACGGGCGTCCATAAGTTTTTTTAAGCCGTCCCTTAATTTTATTTAAAATTTTATTTTTTAAAGTATGGACGGGCGTCCATTTTATGTATACTTCCATCTATATTATATAGATGGGAGTCTATCATTCATTTCACATGGACGAATATCCACATATAATAGACTTTCGTTCAACAACAGTAAACGATCGCCTATAATTAATAAACAGTCGTTCATTCACAAAATATTAATTTATGGGATATGTAGTTGGTCTAAGTCATGAGACATGCCATTTGGTGTATAGAATCGATGTCCATAGCATACTTAAAGATCCACATAAGTCAATGAGTCCATGAATGCATGAAGCAAATCAACAAACCCAACAGTTACCGGCCCACCGCCTCCACTAAACAGAAAAAAACTACCTTTGGCTAACATAACCAATTAAAAAAAGTCAGTGTGGGCACTGTGGTTGGTTTTCTTTCGATACGGTGTCCGTGACCACTGACAAACTCTTCACTACCGTCCCACGCTACTCTACCCTATGTTTAAAGCTCTGACACTTCTCAGCGATCACTATGTCTTGTCTTTTAAATTGTTTTAATCTTCTCTTTGTTTTTTCAGAACAAAAGTTTCTACCTTTTTCTAATTTCAATGAATCTACTCTTTCCTTTACTTTTCACCAGGTCATTCTCAAGAGTCAAGACTCATGCTACTGTGTTTGGTATTGTTATGTCCATGACATCAATCTACATCCATAAAATATGATAAAAAGTTCCCTAAAACCATTGCCCCAGTCACATTTATACATACCCAAATCGTAACCCAATTAATCAAAATTCTTTCTGTTTGTTTTATTCTTTTTCTTTTCATAAAAGATACTTTTTGCTTTCAAAAAAGAAATTTTAAAACTCTAATTAAAATTCTCTTTACAACTTAGAATATTAAATAACAATATGTGCAGTACAATAATTCTAGAGCCCCGCATGACAGCATCAGCCAACCATATGTGTATGTATTATTTTATTAGTATTTAAATTATCAAAAAAATAATCAAAAAATTTATCTTCCACATGTACAAGGCTGTAGCGCAAAGTTTCTCGTCTTGACCGCACCGTCAACCAATAACACCACGCCACATCAGCAAGTATTCACGTGCCAACCTAAATCTCCCAAAAAAATCTAACCTCCCATCACACTGGTCCCCACCACCACGCCGTATAAAATTCTCATCCCTCCCTCCTCTCATATACAACTGATAAATCCAGCTGTCCTCCATTATTTTCCATCCACGTGGGGAGAGGAGCATCTTAGCTGGCAACTCCAGCCTCCAATGGATCCAATCCTATGTGTCAGATTCTTATTGGGTTGAAACCCTTGACCTCCTGTACGACCTGTCCAGCTTTTGAGACAAAGCATGTAGGACCTGCCAAGTGGCATCCCCTTCCTGGATCTGATCATTGAAAAGTAGAGCCCGTCTGACATTCGGGTCCCATAGGTTCCTCTGAATGCTACTCAAATTGGTAGAAGCCACGCGTTCCAGTATCATTCCCAAGTTTGCCACGTCCTTTTCAGCCACCGTTAAAGATATCTCCGGCCAGTTAACGGCGTCCGAGAAGGGCAACTGGATGCCATCCGCTATAATTACCGGCACACATCCTAATACAACTGATTCTACAAGCCTGGGACTCCACGGAGCCCATCCAAGCGGACACAAACAGAACACTGACCGTACAATTTCTGACTGGTAACCAGCAAATCTGTGCCTTTGTAAGTAAAACCTTTGGTCACCATTATATTTTCTCCATATGACCGTTCTAACCTTCCTGTAATATAAAAAACCAAGGTTAATTACGTAATTACAAATCGTAAACAAATCAAAAACTATGATTATAAGTTTGATTAGCAACAATAAGATTTGATAAATGATGATTACTTGCTGTAAAAACGCCCACTGACGTTCTTAGGGTGAACTTCCATTTTACCCCTAAAGAACACCCAAATATCACGTTGCCCGGTCACCGTAGCTTTCTCCAGAGTTTTCCGTACACTTCCCGGCGAAATATAGGGTGGGATTACTACATTTTCAACCTCTTGACATGGGTGTTTATACTTAACACCAAATGTTTGCAGTATTATAGATTTCTTTAAAAATTCTGGTATCCCATCAGCGATAGCTCTGTGCTCCTATAATACAGAAACACAAAAATATAAATCAAGCAAAAAACAAATAAATGTTTTTAACAAGTATCGAAAGTGTTTTCAATGTTTTCAATTTTCAAATGATGTCTTGGTCTTACCATGGCATGGAAGCAAGCGCCGTAATCGTGGGAGGCGACGAAGACGTGATCGGAGCCCTGGGTCCGGTTCCAAAACGGGTAGTGAGATGAGATAAATTGGATAGCGGAGAATATGAGAGAGCGAGCGTGACCAATGGCAGGGAACCCGTTAACGGTGCTAAAGTTGCAGGATACATAAACGGGTACGAAGTAGAAGTCCGCTTCATACGGGTCAAACGTTCGTCCGTCGCTGTTTAAGAGTGCCCTGTGGATTGCTACCTCCGAAGCAAATAAATGGTTGCTGCACCGCTCATTTGATAGCCAATCCGTGTTGTATTTTGACGGCAACTCGTAAACATATATTTTCAAATCGTTCAATGACCCTGTAAAAAAGAAAGAAAAAAAAAAGTCTACGTGATTAACCACGAGCAAGAAATTGATCGGAATGTGAAGTTGATAATATGAAATGATCTTAAATTTAATACCTTTGTTACTGTTCGTTGGTTGCTGCAGAAATGATGTGTTGATCGATTCGATGAGAGCACGAGAAGGAAGGTTAGATTTTGAGTTAGCAAAATGAGTTTTAGACAAAGGTATAGGCTTGTGGCTGATAAAGTAAGAAGTGAGGAAATAAAGAGTTAGAGAAAACCAAAGAACCCATTTGTAATATTTGAAGCACAAGTTTTTCTCCTGTTGCCTTCCATGTTTGTGCAGTAACCTCATTTTGACATAGAACCCTCGCCTCTTGATGGGTCTTTTGAGCTCCTCCATTTCATTTAAAACGCATAAAGATGAAAGATTTTTCTTTCGGAAGGTGATAGGTTGAAGTCACAGTTGAGATGGGCCTTTCAGTTTCTGGTTTGTGTAGAAGTGAAGACGAAGATAGAGTGATGGAAGATATGGGTTTGTTGGTCCTTCAATTCTTAATCTTTCACACCAAAATAAACAAATAAAAAAGAATTAAAACTTTGCATCAACTTTGCTCGTCTTCTTTATTCTCCTCTCTCATGGTCATGGGTATGGGTTTGGTTAAGTTCTGGTGGTTTAAATTTAATCATATAAAAATGAAAAATAATAAATAAAATTTAAGAGGGTTGCAGAGAGACAACAGAGAGGATAGCAGAGAGTTCACATGGCGATAGAGCTGAACAGAGCCGGGTAAAAGAAGTTCTCGGTTTCCATGCTGGTAATGGTTACCATCAATTGAGTTTTCAAGATCCAAATAACTAAAATACCCTTGCTGGTCTTAAAATATTGTCTAAGATAATGGTACTTTTTCGTCAAATATATTACTTTTTGGGTGTTGAATTAAACGATAAGGTTATCTTAAACATAGATATAATCAACTTGACATCATGATTAACAAGTGTCTGTTGGGTTTTATGTAAGTTGAAAGTATTGCCAGATTGAGGTACAGGTCATTAAAATTGAGTTGCAGCCGTAGATTTTGTCCGATGAACGGTCCAGATTGGTTCAGAGGCTTACAACACAATTTATTGTAAGACACTGGTTGGAGGGAAAGTTTGGTGATATTTAATTCTGTCATAAATATGGATATTACAGGCATACAGCTGTAAGTACAAATTTCTTGGAAATATTTAGCACAAAGTTTTTTAATCGCTTTTGTAAGTGTTAAATTGAAAAAGAAAGGTAAGATTAATTATAAAGTTATACTTTAATTAGAATAATGTTGAAACCATTAAATGTTTGGGATGTAGTTTAGTGATTAAATATTTAAAACGATCACGAGAATAAAGTTTATTCAAATTATAGATCATGTTTGATCTCGATCCCATTTATTTTGATTCCTCTTGTTTCTACTATGGAGTTTAAATCATATAAAAGTAATGCCGTTCTTAGACTCATAATATTAGTAATTTAATCAAATAATTTATTAAAAATCATTATAATAACTAATCTCGTAATAATGTTTACCATAAATTTGTTTACTTCATTGACTTTTTAGGTTCAAATCACTTTGAGGTCACATATCATAATTATAATTTATTTAGAACATTGAGTTTGTTAGGTGTTTAATGGACTTCGAAGATTAGTTGATGTGTATACAAGTTAGTCCAAAAATCCCGTGATAAAAAAATAAATAAAAATTGTTTACTTATTTTTTTATTGTGGATACAATGGCATTTGTAGTTGGCAAAGAAAAGGACTCACTTGTCCTATTTAATAAAATGGTTTTTTTTTTCTTGGAAAAATCAATCTTATATTTTTATGGGAAAAAACCTAAGACTATTCTTGTGTCTTAATGCAAACATGTGAATAAGATCGATGAACATTGATAGTGGAGTTAATTTGTTATTGTCAATATTTTTACAAGTCACAAAGAGGAATTGGCCCACTTGGTATCGGTACCACATGTAAAGAATAAATTGTTGACTTTCGACAGCTTAAAAGCCCTTCCATTTTGAATGTTCGTCGCCAGAACCAGTCCTCCACCATCCACCCTTCAATTATTTTCCTAATATTAAAAAAACCAACCATTCACAGTAATAAAAATATTTAAATTAATTAACAGTTTTTCTTCTCTTTTTTCTATTTCCACTTGATACAAAGTTGGAAATTGATTACATTTTAAATTATTATTATAAGTTTTATTTTATTTTATTTAATAACTAAGTCCTAAACACTGCTTCATTGAATCTTGACCAAAGACAGGAGACTCGAGTCGACCATTGATTTTATTGGGAAGTCTCGTATACGGCAAGATGTATATTTCTCGTGATTGTTACGTAAACTAAAGGGGATAATAACCATTTTGTACCCTAGATTTGATTTTACTACACTTTA